AAGGAAAGTGGATCACAGTTACACAAGTTTCACACCAAAATATTTGATTCGATGCAGTCACTGTCAGTGTAAAGGTTCTTTTAAGTTCGAATACTTGGCACCCAACGCCGACATCCATCTACGATTTGGTAAAGGAAAGTGGATCACAGTTACACAAGTTTCACACCAAAATATTTGATTCGATGCAGTCACTGTCAGTGTAAAGGTTCTTTAACTTCGAATACTTGGCACCCAACGCCGACATCCATCTATGATTTGGTAAAGGAAAGTCCAGGCCATACAGTGCCGAAATTCAAGTGTGATTTTTTTATAAGAGAAACAAGTACTTACACCATAAAGGTATGTTTTTATTACAACTGAAAACTTGTTAATTTGAGTAAGTCTTTATTTTTATTGAAATTAAAGTATCGTTTCTATTTGAAAAAACATAAACATTTTAAATTCACAGAGTAATGCATAACTAGACTGACTTTTCATTGTTTGCAGCTATATTTGTGTATTTTGTTTGAAGCGCAAAGCAACACAATAGGCTACTTGCGCTGTGCCCACCACGGGTATCAAACGCGATATTTAACGCCTAAGCCCTCAAGGTCACCTTTGAGCAACGTGTGGATGTTTTCAACCAATATATATATATATATAAACATTTCATTCAGAAATGAACTAACTTTAAGTTTTATTAGAGGTATTTTAAGTTCTAAACATCCTTGTACAACTCATTTTGATGCATGTATAGGAAGTGGGTTGATATTCGTTACAGGACTCTAGAAGAGTGTTTGGTAAGTTAGTTTTAACATTTCTTTTAATCTACGAATTCAGTGGTTTTAATGGCATTATATATATGAAACGAGTAAGTTCAACATTTATTTATTGTTGTCATACGGATACAACGCATCCTTAGTTTCAGTTATACATAAATCAGTCGATAGAGTTTCAATGATAAGTGTACAGGAATTCCAAGTACATTTTTACTGGTCTTCTCGCCAACTGTGATAATAAAGTTGCAAGAGTATGATGTACACGTTGTTCATAAATTTTAATTCAACAATGTCTAAATGTATAAACTATCGTCTATTTCCGTTATTCTAAAGGAACATAATAAGTACACTGTGTAGAAATAATTATTCATGTCGGATTTAACAAAGTATGTTGTTTTTGTCGTCTAAATATAGCACTGAAGTCAACACCCAAATTAGATAGTGATCAGGGTTGGAGTACGTGAACGTTGCTTCCGCTTTAAATCACTAATGGTCGGTACGATAATAACTCAGCTTCACTTATATATATGTGAGGATCTACAATTTCAGTTTCATTCTTCAAAAAACGTCTTGCGTGTTCTGAACAGAATTATTATTGATTAAGGCAAGTTTTTACTTGGCTACAACTATTCTTCAATAAGTATGTCGTAGTTCGGTTTCCGTAACTATTTTCCTCTAAAAAGTATAAATATTAGATGATAATGATAACAATAACTTGTTGTTGTTTTTTAATGCAGCTGGATATTTCTTAACAAACTTAAAAACTATTCATTCACCGTGGTTCAGTTCAGAAAAAGATAGAAAACGGTTTATAACTTTGTTCAGTAAAACCTAGAATAGAATTAACGGTTTGTAACATTGTTTAGTAAAGTATTTAATAGCAGTAAAAGTTCATATTGTTGTCCAATAACGTCTTGAATAGCAATAACGGTTCATATCACTATTCAATAAATTCTTGAATAGTAGTAATGGTTTATGTTGTTGTCCATAAAATCTCGAATAAATAAGTAATGATTCACATCGTTGTAATTTAAAGTTTTGAATTTTTCGTAACCGTTTATGCTTCTTCTTCTCTCTCTTTGTAAACCGTTGTTCAATTAACATTATAAAAACTTAACTTTACTCAACTTTCCAAATATTAAATAAAGGATGATAACGTTCTAAGTATTAAACTAAACGTTTTTTTCAGATGGTCAAAGGTATAAACCTCAGCTTCCTTTGCCTTCTGGGATGTGTACTTCTGGCTTCCATCTCCCCCTGTCTCGGTCGAATTGTCCGCCGAAGTAACATCCAGTGTCAGTCTTGGAAGAGCAGTGAGATACGATGTGGTAAGGATGACTGGCCATCGAATCGAATTAAGATCATAAACAAGTCCTCTGCTAGTGTCACATTTGTTGTTGACCAGTGGATAAGCTCGTGCGGTTGGCCAGGATCGAAGTATTCTTCTAGGCAGTACACATTGAACTCTTATCAAAATATCGAACTACAATTTGCACATGCACTGCCTGGTAAATGTCGAGAAATGTTTATTATTGACTGTCGTCAACATGGAAGTTATATTAACTGTCTTCATGTTTTGAAAGCTTATCCTGTTGGCTAACTTTACTGTAAAGTAACAATTGTCAGAAGTTATTTGCTCCGCACTACAGTAAAGCATTATCAAATATTGTTCTCCAATTTTGTATTAATTGTTAATATTGTTATATTGCTTTATAACTATATATTATTGCTTCATTCTATTAAGTGCTTGTATAATGATGTCAGTTTATTGGATAATTTTATAATTATGTTCTTGTGTTGGATTATTCAGTCAACTTTGATTTTGATTTCATTTAATAAGAGTGTAAAACACTAGAAATAAACGACTTTATAACACCAAAATGTTGTTTTTATTTAATTAAACACTCGACGTTTTGTTTTACAACTTCTTCAGGAGCAAAGAGCAGTAGTGTGATGATTTGCAACTGTAAATTACGTCTCATAAAATTACTCTACTTTACAAGACTTTCCGACAGTATGTTATCCTGTTTTGCAATTAAATTAACATTTAAATAACGAAATTTTATAGTTTTATAATTCCTAAATTATACACTTAAAGTTAAAAATACCCTTGGGACAATGTAATTAACATGGATTTAGGTTTTAAAAAACGACACAAAAGCCCTTCTAACAGGCTGTACTCAAATCACATTACCTTTCAAATATTAGCTGTGGAAAGCTCCACCATTAGAATCTGGTACACGACACATGAGAGTACGTTGTTGCACTTAAATGTTTGCAAAAGGCCTGATTATTTATGTTTGCAGGAGGAAGCTATTACTGTTAAGTTAATTATCCATAGAGTCGAGAAAATGTAGATTTGAACTAGACATATTCTAAGATTATCATTCTGATCCCACTATTACACAAGAAAACACTATCTATGTTAGGTATGGCAGCATGAAGATAAGACACACAGTCAGCATCCTAGTTTCTCATTTCTAAGTTTACATAAGACTTTTGTATGATTGGTTTGTTCTAAAGGGTACTCGTCATCCGAGTACTGTTAATGTACGTCATAAATATGTAACATGAGAGAGTATAACGTGGACCCAACTGTTTAATGTAGAGAGAATTTCTGCAATAAAAGATACGCTCCAAAGCAACAGTCCACAACCAGGATCAGCACTTATTGTTGGAAGGAGAGACGGTAAGGCTTAGATATTCATCCTTGTGTACGTTAACATAAACGAAAACATCTAGGCAACGGAGGTACAAACTCAGCCATACATCACATGGGGGATTAGGTAACATATGTTGATTCTTGCATGAACATACGTAATAATATATGAGCTTACAGTGAAAATATATTATTTGAATATATTAGATATGTTTAATTAAATATTGTCGAAACTCAGAAAACACAACTGTGGAATGTCATCACTGAAGTTCAGTAATTTAAATTTTCTCATAGTAATTTCAACAGACATTTTTGAGGGGTATTTAAAAATAGTACCAGAAGTGTTAATAAATTCGATATACAATCATGTTATGTTTCATGATGAAGTTTTGTGTCTGTTCATCATTTCGGCAACTTTCAAGTTCTGTCACTCCTCTTTCCGTGAAAGAAACAACGTTCACTTGTATAAAATATTTGGCCATACAAGCAGTTTTGTAACCTTGTTACACTAGTTTTGACTGCAGCTGGTGTCTCCATCAGTGATGAAGTGTCGAAGAATGTTGAGATGTTTTATTATATCAGTTTAACAGAAAGGATTGGAAAACAGTTTATTGATTTAACCATTTCGTCTATCAGCACAATTCTAGAGTATTTACTTTCAATTTGGTTTGTTAAATATTGCATTTCCTTTTGCTAGGTGAACAAGGTGAAATATTTAATATCATAAATGGAAAACTGTTTATTAAATGCACGGTATTTTTTACAAACATTTATAAAAACTGACAATTTTGTGCTTTAAGAAAAACATCTTTTATTGTTTCAAACCCTTACAACTAGTGAATTCATCTAATAAGAATAAAAACTGAAAAGGAAATTGTGCTTGTGTAGCTCTGGAATTTGATCTTATTTGCCAATCTTTAGAAGAAGTAAAAACTTTCTAAACACCATGTTTACATCCGCGCGTGTTTACAACTGATCTTGTTAACTGAAAACATAAATGCTTTACCAGCAATTTAATCTTGAAATATCAGCAGTAAAACATTATGTAATTCACTGTAGATGATGATATATGTTATTATTATCCTTGTGTTTTGAAGTGACAGACACTTCGTTGGATGGAACTCTTATGAAACATCCTAGACATTTAGCAGTTCACCAAATCGTAGATGGATGTCGGCGTTGGGTGCCAAGTATTCGAAGTTACAAGAACCTTTACACCGACAGTGACTGCATCGAATCAAATATTTTGGTGTGAAACTTGTGTAACTGTGATGCAACTTAGTGCTGTCGTTTGTTCAGTTTCACAATGTCACAATGTGGTGGTCAATAGAAAACTGAACAAACGACAGCACTAAGCTCTATTGACCACCACATTGTGAAAGTGAACAAACAACGGCACT